TACACTCTTTTTACTTGGCCACCAATTAATCCCTAACACCTAATTTTGAGAGGCCCGGAAGGACAGAGACGAAAGATAGAGGGGAGGCTGCACTTTCCTTCTTCAATTTTCTTTTCCCATTGCACTATTCCAAAAAAATAATCTTCTTCCCCACAAGCACGAACGAATCACCATGGCTTGAACCGAAAAAGTTTTAAGTCATTTTTCTCTTAAAAGTTAAAACCATCTCCCTTTTATTTTTCAAGAGCAAAAACCTTCATCATCGTCCCTATTTTCTCCACCTTTACACCACCATGAAACATCCATAAACACCCATCTCCTCAACCATTCACAATCACATAAATCTTGAGCCCAAAAACAAGATCAAACCCCTTTCAATTTCAAGCAATGTGCAGTTGTTGAGTTTTCGGTCGGCGACGGTATCACGTTTTGAGTTCCGGTCTAGTGGTTCAAGTTCCGTGTTAATTGCTGTTATACCCTGCTTTTTTCCTCGATTTTGCTTAAGGATCCTGTACAATTTTCAAGTATTTAAGGAAATCCGATGACTCCTTTTGAGAATCCGAAGGGGATTTGATTGAGTCCAGTTTGTCGTTGTTTTCGCTCACCATTCGAGTTCTGCTGCTTTTGCTCAGAGGTTTTTGTTGAATATTTTGTTTGAGGCTTATTCACTGCTTGATTTTGTTCGACTTAGTTGTTGTAATTGCTGAGGTTCATTAACTAAAAGACTATCTCAGGTTCATTCCTCCCACTCTCATTTTANTCATTTCGAATATTGTCACTTTAATTGGAAAAACTCCCTAACCCATCGCCCCATCGAAAAAAAGGAGGTGTGACAGGTCTATCGGAAACAACCCCTCTACCTCGCCAGATAAGGATATGGTCTGAATACACACTATCCTCCCCAGACCCCACTTGTAAATTATACTAGGTATATTGTTGTTGTTATTGTTGTTGTTGTTGTTGTTGTTGTTGTTGTTGTTGTTATTACTTTGGCTACAATATCTTTCCAATCTGAGACAATGATACATGTACTCGGTAAATATAAGACATACATGGACCTTTTTTGGTTGGCAGTAATGCAAGTTCATATTTCCGCGGCTGCTGCTTTATTTTCTGCTTTTCCCAGAGTCCAATGTATTTGCATATGAGCTTTACATAAACACAACTACAGTATGTGTTAGGATCGGGAGTCCGGGTAGTACGAAATTTAGCCGAACAACGTTATAATAAAAATAACAAAGACAATTCAAGTTGATAATAACGGTAATTAAAGAAGATAAAGAAGACACAAATTTAACGTAGTTCGGTCAAGGTGACCTATATCCACAAGTATAAAAGAGCAATTTTATTATACCAATAAGAGTACAAAAGAGAGTACAAAATTCGAGTAAATACTCTAATTAGTCCCAAATACCCCAAGAGAATAACCTCCCAAGATCACTAAAAAAAAGGGTTCACGTAAGTGTTTCCCAACACTCACTCACAAAATACTCTATAATGAAATAAAGGAGGAGAAAGAAAGACAAAGTGATTTGGCTCAAACCCTACCATAAATATGACATGGCATAAAATTTAATGAAAAAAATCCAAAAATAAATACCACATAAGCTTAAATGGGTCATACCCACTTTAGATCCATTTCTTCCTTAATGTGCTTTGACCCATAACCCAAATGGGTTTCCATAGGAAAAAAAAACGCACGCTCCTAATAAATTTAGGTTTTGTGATTTTGTTTTGGGGTTTTGACCGTACAGATACAGTATTTCTTTTGTCTAAACAATTGCAATAGATTATCTGTAATTGCATGTCTATTGACAATTTTCATTATGCACTTTAATTGCATGTGTTGCTTACTAAGCAGGTTATTTGTATGCTAGTGTTGCTTAATAAGCAACATTTTCAAATTAATGAAATGGTAGTTTGTGAAAGATAAATTCTTATTAGCCTTATTATTTTTGTATGCTTATGATACATTTATATGTTATGTGAGATGGATACAATAGTATTTTAACTTCAATAGAAAATTATAAATATGTTATGTGAGTTGGATACAGTAATATTTTAATTTCAGTAGAGTTATAAAACGACTCGGATGGGGCATACAAACAAGATAAGAATTTTTTAGTATAGAATAATTATAAATGAGTATTGTGTAACAGAAAAGGTAAAAATTTTGTAGTATAGGATACTCATTTTTAACTAATGTGGAATTTAATTTTTTTTTTTAATCGAAATCCATTTGGGTTATGTGTCAAATCACATTAAGGGAGAAATGAATTTAAAGTAGGTATGGTCCATTTAAGCTTATGTGACATTTATTTTTAGATTTTTCTCATTAAATTTCATGCCATGTCATATTTATGGTAGGAGTTCCAAAATGACTTTTAAGTGATAATGATAAAGTTTAGTTATTTTTAAGTGATAAAAAATAGTTGAGCGATTATATTGAAATTGAAAGATAGTTGAATGACCATCAGTGAAATTAATCTTTATCCCAATCAAGTATCAACTCACTACATTTTGAACTGCTACAATTATTTTTCTTGAGGGGGGTCGTACAATGAAAATTTTCCAGCAGATCATGCGATTGGTTTCATTTTATTAAATAAAAATGCACTGCACGCAATCACACGAGCATCAAATCCATGGTTCTGATGTCCAAATGATTGCTTCCAAGTTTTTCATTCACTCTTCCATTTCTGTAGTACATTCTGTTGTAGTACAGAATCAGAATCTGTTGTTTCTTAATATTAGGGAATCGAGGATAGTGAGATGCTGAAAAGCAATGTATTGGCTTAAACAATACTGATATTACAAGAAAATATATCTAAATGTCCCGGTAAGTTGGGACAGTGTAATCTATGAACTACTAGTAAACTTCTATCCTACAAAAAACTTGACGGTACAGATTGAATAACTAGACTTGTAATCCTCCTTTATTAATTGTAGTGACATTCAAGTGAGAAGTGACACGTAGAAATGCAGTCTCACTGCATGGTATTGTAAGGCCGCCCATTGGATAATCGAATTTGTATTCTTCCTCTGCATGCCTCAACAAGTCTTGAAACAAAGGATGCTTCAAACAAGAGATAGGAACCACGAATCGGTGCTTATTATTATGACTCTCTCCAACATAAACTGCCAGGTGACCCTTGGGAACATCTGCCAATTTTGATGAAGTGGTTGCAGTTGATCTTTGGTGGAGAAAAATGTTGTGTTTAGCATGATCAAAGATTGTCTTGAGATGAATCCTCATGTCGATGAACTTCTCTTCAAGTTTTAGCTGGTAAAAGTGCAGCAAGAAGTTGTATACAAGCTTTAAGTGATATGTAGTGTTCATGATTTCTGCAAATGAGTTCTCTATATATAGGGATTAGTTGGAGGAGTTACTTGATTTATTTTTAGTAGTGACCAAATAGTGTGGGACGAAAATTCACTCTAATTAACAAAGAATCCCCAACTTGATGCTGTAAGATAGAAGAATTTTCTTTTGATTTAACAATACATATATCATATATGGCCTAGCACATAGTTTCCTACTCAAAACCGCGTACCTCTACGTAGACTCAGTTGTTTCGTCGATAATTTCTTTTTCTATTTGATAATTTATTGTTTTTGCTACTCTTATATTTTCAGATTGAAGATAGATTTACTCATGAGGCACATTTGGGGCCTTTGTTGTTTAGTTGTAGTACTTGAATGCAACCATTTTCTCCCAGCTGCTTCTCAAAATTCTATAAATAATATGAGGTCTTGATAGTTATCAAAAGGTATTGAGAAGATTTAGAAGTCAACCAAATGAGATTGTTGACTGCAATCCTAACCTTCCACAGCATCTTTAAGCAAATCCTGTGACCAAGCATAGCCCACCGCGTAAAAATATTAGTAGTAAATTATATTTTGATTAACAGTATAAATGTAGTAAAGAGGCGGGATTTACTATGAGAAAGCAGCATTACTTAGGAGCATGGTTAATAAATTCCTGGTAGAGAAAGAGCATAGAAGTTGAAAAAGGTGGTACAGAATGATATGTATTGTTTCCATTCGCCTATTAACTATATGCAGACTATCTATGTATTTAGCTTCAGAATTTCAAATCACTGCTCTATCTTTCTCATTCTGTACTTGTACCAAAATAACGCTTCAGAATACATTGGTGATGAAGCTAGCAGTGACCCTCGGCTTATTTTACAACTCCACTCGCACGCAGTTTTCTATTTCAGGCACTGTGGAATATCTCCTTTTGGCCCTCAATGATTCAATCAAGATTGGTTCACTTGTTGGTCATCCTGAAATATCTGTCCTACCAATTTGCGCTTATCCTTTTTGACAGTTCTTCTCAAGAGCACATGTCCTATAGGTACAGGTACATGTGATTATGAGGTCATTGTAAATTATCCGGACACTATTTTTATGCAGGTTGCTATATGCATCCAATATTCAATCATTAATTTGATTACAAACTTAAGCCTATATTGTGTATCTTAAGATTCTTTGATGCTGATATTAATTAATAAAAGGATATTCTTGGGTGCTGTTTTTTCGACTAGGTTTATTGTACCTGAAATTTTTTCATGAACTACGGTCTCTTTCTACATTTACTTCTTCGATTATTAAAACTCTTTATGCAAGTAATTCAAGGTAATGGTGTGCTTGATCTGGTTGTTCTAATTAACTTCTATCTTATTTGATATCCTTTCCCTTTGTAGCATGTGACAAGCAGAACTTTTTCTTACTCTACAAAGTCTTTCATCAATCTATTATCTCTCTCTGACTTGTAATAGTAGCTTTTCTTGGAAAGCAGAGAAGATCTTAAATGTTACAACATTAAATGTGAGCGCATCCGCTCTAATTTTGGGGGACAAGTTTACCCAATACTTGTGCTTGTGGATATAACAGATTTCCCTGTGGATTAGTCTGAGGTGTACACAAGATGTCTAGGCACCACAGGTGTAATACAAAAGAATACACGATCATTTCACAGATAAAGAATGTGGCTATCCATTTTCTAAAGACAACAAATAATGGTAAAGATTTCATTTATATGCTTTGCTTGAAGGCTTTCATTTAAAGATTTCATTTACAACTCTTGCCTAGTAAGATGAAAAAACTAAAAAAATTCTAAGCTAGCTCTAATCTGAAGCTCAGAATGCTACTTCATGGTTCTTCATTTCATAGATTCAATCGAGAAGTCACATCAACAAAATCATCCTCATTGCAAGGAATTGTTAGACCACCCGTTGGATGATGAAATCCAAACTCTTCTTCTGCTTTCCGCAATAAGTTCTGGAATGAAGGATGATTCAGATATGAAATGGGCACAACGTATCGTTTCTTCTCTCTCTCACCAACATAAACTGCAAAATGTCCTTTAGGAATATCTAAATGATTTCTTGTTAGAACAGACTGCAGTTTGTTGATTTTCATTGCACTGGAAATCATTGGTAATAAACGAAATCCCATGACTTCTCTTTAACTTTAAGAAGGAAAGAGTGCTTACAAGAAGTTGAAAACAAGCTTTAAGGGATATGTGTTGTAGAGAAAGAAGCTTATGCTTTTCTGCATATGAGTTCTCTGGTGTATATATAGTGATTGATCAGAGGAGACAGTTGATTTGTTTGTAGTATATCCCAATAATGTGGGACCGAAATTCGCTCTAACAAAGCATGACAGTGGACTCAATTGCTTTACATTATTGTAGCACAAAACTTTGTTTGCTCCCCAACTTGATGCTGTAAGATGGAAGATTTTTTCTTGAATTAACAATTCATTTGTGGCATAGCACATAGTTTTTTGGCTCAAAACCGCGTACGTCTATTATTGTTTTTGCTACTCTATCTTTTCAGTTTTCAGACTGAAGATACATGTACTCATGAGGCATATTTTGGGAGCCTTTGTTGTTTGGTTGCTGCTTCTCTAACTTCTATTGTTGCCAAATTGAAGGAAATGGCAGTGGCAGTGGCTCTAGGCTTATTTTACAGTTCCACTCTTCCCCAGTTCTCTATGTAAAAATTGGGCTTTGTAAATTATCTCCCCCCCCTCAATATATATACTTCAATCAAGATTGGTTCATTTCCTGCTGTCAATCCTGACATATCTGCCCTACCAGTTTGGATATGTCCTTTTCTACATGTCTTCTGAAGAGCACTTGTCCTATATATAGGTACTACTACATGTGATTATGAGGTCATTTTAATTTATCCGGATACTATTTTGGTGCAGGTTGCTATATGCATTCAATATTCAATCATTGATAACAAGTTATTAACTGTCTATATTTGACTTCCAAGACATGTTATTCATCACTTAATCTTGTATAGTGATAAAGATTTGCTTTGTACTAAATATGTCATAAGCAGATTTGCTTCGGCTAGTCTTAAGATACAATACAACACGGTATTTTTATGCTTTAAATTCGGTGTATGAGGTTGAGCTGGTTTTGCTACTGGTATTTCCCTTATTTCTTGATTTACTGACAGTTTATAAAGACCCTCTACAGATTAAGTAAGATCAGTTTGACATTACTTCAAGTTGGCGTGCCAAATGCTTATGAGAAAGCCCACCAGAAAGAGATTAACTACATGCTGTTTTTTTAATTACAAAAATATTTACAAAAAAAAAATTCAAAAGACTACTTATAATTTACCAAGTCAAGCCTAGATTGCGTATCTCAAGATTCTTGATATTGAAAAAAAGATATCGTTGGATACTGGTGTTTCTGACTCTTTTTTGTTCTAACTAAAAATGCTCCATCAACTGTGGTTATTTCTAACATTAGCTTTTACACCGTTTCAAGCTAATAGTGCTTGATCTGGAGGTCGATTAATTTCTCTGTCATTCACTATCTTTTCCTTGTGTAGCATGTGGCAAGAAGAAATTTTCATACTCTAAAAAGTCTTTCATCAATCTATTATATTCCTCTGACTTCTAACAGTACGCTTTTCCTGGAAAGCAGTGAAAAATACTTGATCAGGTTCATCCAAGGGAAGGTTTAGTTATTGAGATATTGAATTAAACAGCCTGGAGATCTGAAATTCAAATTCAGTTACAACACAAAGTGTGAGCTACAATCTTTTGTGGTCAGATTTAATCAACAATTGTATTGTGGATATGCAGACTGTCCAGTAGTTTAATAGAGGTGCACTACACAAACTGTCCGAGGGCACCAGGTCGTAATACAAAAGAATCCATGAATTTCACAGATAAAGAATTTGGCTATCCATTTTAAACAGACAAGAAATGATGATAAAGATTTCACTTATATGATTTTCTTGAAGGCTTTGTACATAAGTTTACAACTCTTTCCTAGCAAGTGGAAAATAAAAACTGAAAATTCTAAGTTAGCTCTAATCTAAAGTTCAGAATGCTACTTCAATATGGCTATTAATTTCATAAATTCAATCGAGAAGTCACATCAACAAAATCATTCTCATTGCAAGGTATTGTTAGACCACCCATTGGATGATGAAAGCCAAATTCTTCTTCCGCTTTGCGTAATAGGATCTGGAAAGAAGGATGGTTCAGGTATGTTATAGGCACAACGTACCGTTTCTTCTCACACTCTCCGACATAAACTGCAAAATGTCCTTTTGGAACATCTGAATGATTTCTTGTTAGAAGAGACTGTAATTTGTAGACTTGCTTGGCACTGGAAATCATTGGTAACAGACGAAATCCCATGACTTAACTTCTTGATATGTCAAGTATTGGTGTTTGATAAAATTGTGATTGAAGTAGGACTTGTTTAGATTGATAAAGATTTGTGTTTGGTCTGGAATTTGTTGTGAAGTTTCACAGGAAAAGGTTATATTTATAGAGCTGCTTGCATATTTAATTTCGTGTGAATGCATCAGCGTGAAGTGGTCAATACAAGTGGCTAAAGAACATGGCCCATTCCTGTGAAATTATTGCATATATAGCAGGTCGTACAACAAAAACTTTCAAAACATTACCATGTGATGTGATGAGAGGATGTGTATATCGAAAAATGTTGGGAATAAACCCCTTACAGAAATAATATTCACAGTAATAAAAGCAGAATAATAACGTAGCACCGAGATACGGCAATTAACAAGAATAAAAGAGTGACAACGACACCAAGATTTTTACGTGAAAAACCCTTTTGAATAAGGGAAAAACCACGGCCCTGAGAGGAGCAACTGATATCACTATAGCAAGGAATTTTATATTTTGTAGGTCCGAGTAAAATACTCCACAGACCACTACAACACTCAAAAGAAATAACCCTCTTTTGATATTCTCACCTTACTACAATATCGCTCACTCTCTATTTTTCTCACATACTATTTTCTTATACACTGTCTGTGAAACCTCACTCTTTCTTTCTCTCTTTGTTGGTGTGTATTACAATGAGAGCAAGACACCTATTTATAGTGTTTAGGATTGCTTCATTGATGTCATCAATGATATCATGAGTTTGGCAAGAGTCAAATATTCAATGTGAAACCAAAGAAATATTTGCCATAAAATCTTCCTTACTATTCCTTTAGTTGGCTTGACAATTCAAAGCCAAAGGAAGATGTCTTCCTTACACATAGGATGGACCCATCAAATCTCCCCCTCCAGTCTCATGCACCTGAAGGAGGTAACTCCAGTTTTTCATATAGAGTACATGCCGACAAGTTCTTTGCACAATTAGAACTTGTCTCTTGGTACCACCTTGGTCAGCATATCTGCTGGATTCTCACTTGTAGAAATCTTCAAGACTTTTAAAGATTCATTCTCTACCATTTCTCGAATCCAGTGATATCTCACGTCGATGTGTTTGGTCCTTGCATGGTACATGGAGTTCTTGCTAAGGTCTATTGCACTTTGACTGTCACAATAGACGATATACTCTTCTGATGCAAGCCAAGCTCTTGAAGGAACTATTTGAACCATATCATCTCCTTGACAGCTTCAGTAGCGACAATATACTCCGCTTCAGTTGTAGAGAGTGCGACGCACTTTTGCAACCTTGATTGCCATGATATAGCTCCCCCCGAAAATGTAAACAAATATCCAGTAGTGGATTTTCTATTATCAATGTCACTTGCCATATCAACATCTGTATAGCCCTTCAAGATTGGATCAGATCCTCCAAAGTACAAACAATCTCCCGTGGAGCCTCTCAGGTACCTGAGTATCCACTTGACTGCTTCCCAATGTTCCTTTCCAGGATTTTCAAGGAATCTGCTAACAACACCAACTGCATGAGCAATATCAGGTCTGGTGCATACCATTGCATACATCAAGCTTCTGACTGCTGAAGAATAAGGAACTCTAGCCATGTTCCCTTTCTCCTCTACACTTGTAGGCCACATCTTCTCACTCAACTTTAGATGACTAGCAAGAGGTGTGCTGACTGGCTTAGCATTTTTCATATTGAAGCGTTCCAGTACACATTCAATGTACTTCTCCTGAGACAGCCACAACTTTCTGCTTGTTCGCTCTCGAACTATCTTCATACCCAGAATTTGTTGTGCTGGGCCCAAGTCCTTCATATCAAATGACTTGGACAAACCCTTCAACTTTGCGATCAACCTCTTGTTTGTTCCTACAATTAACATGACATCCACATACAACAACAAAATAATAAAGTTGTTATCAGAAAATCTTTTGAAGTATACACATGGATCAGAATATGTCTCTGTGTAAGTTTGACTTTTCATGAATAAGTCAAACTTCTTGTACCACTGCCTTGGTGCCGGCTTTAACCCATAAAGACTCTTATTCAGTTTGCACACCATGTGTTTCCTTTCAGCTACTTCAAATCCTTTTGGATACTCCATATAGATCTCATCTTCTAAATCTCTGTGAAGAAATGCAGTTTTCACGTCCAACTGCTCCACTTCAAGATCTAGGCTAGCTGCTAAGCTCAAGATTGTTCGAATATAAGTCATTTTGACAACAAGTGAGAAAATTTCGTCAAAATCAATACCTTTCTTCTGCTCAAAGCTTTTTACCACCAATCGAGCTTTGTATCTGACCAGCTTGCCATTTTCATCTTTCTTGAGTTTAAAGACCCACTTACATTTGAGTGGTCTTTTACCCTTTGGAAGTTTAAGCAGCTTATACGTGCCATTTTTCTGCAAAGATTCCATCTCCTCTTGCATGGCTTTCATCTACTGATTCTTTTTTAGATGGGGCATCACCTCCTTAAGACTTTCTGGCTCCCCCTCATCACTGATGAGGATATACTCCGTGGAAGGGAACCTGCATGACTCTACCCTTGGCCTTTCTAATCTCCTCAGAGAGGTTGAGGTTGTTCTTCTCCCAGAGTGGGGTGATCCACTTGATCGACATCATCATCAAGTTGCTCCCCCTGCTCAATAACCTTACCAGGTTGCTCCCCCTTCTCGGCAACCTTGTCGGTCGTACTTTCTGTATTTGTGGGATTGTTAGAAGTAGAAGAAATAGTAACAACGTTAGGAATAATACCATTCTTGGCCTTCCCTGACATATCATCAGCAGTTCCAACTTTATTTTCTCGGAACATTACATCTCTGCTTCTGATGACCTTCTTCTTTACGGGATCCCACAATCTGTATCCGAATTCTTCATCTCTATATCCGATGAATATGCAAGGAACAGATTTATCATCCAGCTTTGTTCTCTGCTCCTTTTGGTACATGTGCAAAAGCTTTGTAACCGAACACCTTCACATGTGAGTAGGACACCTCCTTGTTGGTCAAAACTCTCTATGGGATGTCAAACGCCAACAGAACTGATGGACTCCTATTGATCAGGTAATAAGCTGTCTCAACTGCTTCACCCCAGAATGACTTAGGTAGTTTAGCCATTCTGAGCATGCTTTTCACCTTCTCCACAATGGTGTGGTTCATCCTTTTGGCTACACCGTTATGTTGTGGGATTTCAGGAACTGTCTTTTCATGTCTGATCCCATGGTTCGAACAATACTCTTCAAATTCCCTTGAAGTGTACTCACCTCCATTGTCACTTCGGAGATGCTTTAGCTTTTGGCTTGTCTCTCTTTCCACCATAGCATGAGACTTCTGGAAAACTTGAAACACCTAATCTTTGGTTTTCAAAATATAAACCCATAATATTCGTGAAGCATCATCAATAAAAGCAACAAAATATTTGTTACCGCCTATCGATTCAATTTCCATTGGACCACAAACATCAAAATATACCAAATCAAGTATATTCAATTTTCTTTCAGACGATGTCTGAAATGAGACTTTATGCTGCTTACCAAATAAACAATAGTCATAGGATTTTACCTTTAGCATAAGAAATGAGTGATTTCTTGGCAAGAATCTGCAATCCCTTCTCGCTCATATGACCCATTCTTTTGTGCCACAAATCTGCAGAAACCTCATCTTGTGCCGCGTTCAATTCACCTTGGCATATTTCTGCATTTGTCCTATACAACGTGCCACGAGCAACTCCCTTTGCAATCACCATTGATCCCTTGGTGAGTCTCCATTTTTGATTTACAAAATAGTTCTCGTATCCATCTTGGTCTAAAGCAATTCCAGATATCAAGTTCATTCGCAAATCTGGTACATGTCGCACGTCCTTCAGAACCAATGTGCATTCGACTTTTGTCTTGATATAAATTTCACCAATCCCCGCAATCTTTGAGTAACTTGTGTTACCCATTCTCACAAGGCCGAAATCACCTGCTACATATCTGCAAAAAAGATCTCTTACCGGTGTGGCATAGTAAGATGCTGCTATATCAACCACCCATTCCGACTCTGGACCTGATAAGTGCATGCATTCCTCTTACTCGTTTATACAGAGGACAACATTATCATTGTTTTACACCATGGCGGCTGTGTTGTCGTCATTCTTCTGACCACTAGTTTCACCTTTGCCCTTCCTTGGATTTGGGCAATCTCTTTTGAAGTGACCTGGTTGATCACAATTGTAGCAATTTCTAGCCCTTGATTTGGATCGGTTCTTAGACTTCCCACGAGCTCTGGATCTACTATAGTTGCTCGAACTCCTTTGATAATTCCTGCCTCTACCTTCTGTGCTAAGAGCATGTCCTTGATTTTCAGGCTTCTTTCTTATCTTTTCATTGAGTAAAAGAGCTGATGTGACATCTTTCAACTCAATGGTAGTCTTACCGTACAGGATGGTTGTTGCCAAATTATCGTACGAAGATGGCAACGAGTTCAACAACAAGATGACTTTATCTTCTTCCTCGATTTTCACTCCGAGATTGGCGAGCCGTGTGATTAGTCCATTAAACACATTTAAATGTGACAAAAAATTCGTACCTTCACCTATGTATAGGGCGTATAGCTGCTTCTTCAGGTACAATTTATTTGTTAGCATTTTGGATATGTATAGGCTTTCCAACCTTGCCCAAATGCCACATGCAGTGTCTTCATCAATGATGTTATTTACCACATCATCTGATAAGTGCAACCTGATTGCACTAGCAGCCCTTTAATCTAAGTCAGCCCAGTCCTCAGCTTTCATGGTATCGGGCATTTTGGCATCAACATCTAGTACTTTGTGTAATACATGTTTGATGAGCAGATCTCTCATCCTTCTTTGCCATGTTGAGAAACCGCTATCTCCGTTAAATTTTGCTACCTCGTATTTTACTCCGAATATTTTTGTTTTTCACCGAGTATAGTACTACCGACAGTGAATAGTATTTCTGTGAACGAGCAGAACCTGTACTCTGATACTAGTTGTTGGGAATAACCCCCCTACAGAAATAATATTCATAGTAATAAAAGCGGAATAATAACGTAGCACCGAGATACGGTATTAACAAGAATAAAAGATTGACAACGACACTAAGATTTTTACGTGGAAAACCCCTTTGAATAAGGAAAAAATTATGGCCCTGAGAGGAGCAACTGATATCACTATAGCAAGGAATTTTACACTTTGTAGATCCGAGTAAAATACTCCAAAGACCACTACAACACTCAAAAAAATAACCCTCTTTTGATATTCTCACCTTACTACAATATCGCTCACTCTCTATTTTTCTCACAGACTATTTTCTTATACCCTGTCTGTGAAACCTCACTCTTTCTTTCTCTCCTTGTTGGTGTGTATTACAATGAGAGCAAGATACCTATTTATAGTGTTTAGGATTGCTTCATTGATGTCATCAATGATATCATGAGTTTGGCAAGAGTCAAATATTCAATGTGAAACCGAAAAAATATTTGCCATCCTTTAGTTGGCTTGACAATTCAAAGCCAAAAGAAAGATGTCTTCCTTACACCTGGGATGTACCCATAGCAGGTCATACAACAAAAACTTTCAAAACATTACCATGTGATGTGATGAGAGGATGTGTGTGTCGAAAACAACCACACAGAACCTCTGGAGATGGTGTCGAACACCACTTGACCTCTTGGTTATTGTCTGCACTTTTCCCGTTCAATGTAAGTGCGAATATAGTTTTGATGGCTTAAACTCTTCATCATATTTATATTCTGTCCGTCTCATTTTGTGTGAAGGTATTTTTGACTGTGCACTGAATTTAAGAAATTAAAACACTTTTAACATGTAAGTCAAAATTATAAATAAGTATCTGGTTTTGGCCCTCAGTATAATTCAATTAATATTGGTTTACTTCCTGCTGTCACAATGAATAATTAGTTGCTCATCCTGACATATCTGCCCTACCAGTTTGGATATGTCCTTTTCTACATTTCTTCTGAAGAGCACTTGTCCTATAGGTACAAACTACCTGTGATTATGAGGCCATTTTAATTTATCCGGGTACTGTTTTGGTGCAGGTTGTTATATTCATCCAATATCCAATCATTGATACAAGTTTGTCTTTCTGAAGATATTTAGTTAACTGTCCATATTTGAATTTTACAGACATGTTATTCATGCATTTAATCTTGCATAAAGTGATAAGATTTGCTTCGTACTAAATGTAATACACGGATTTTCTTTGGCTCGTCTTAAAATACAGCATCAGATTTTGATGCTGTACGAGATTGAGCTTGTTTAGCTTATACTAATGTTTCCTAATTTCTCTATTTACTGACAGATCACTGTCAATCGAGATCTATTATAGAAGTTAAATAATCATCTTTATTTTTTCCCTAATTTGGAGACCCTGAATTCAGATTCCATCTCCAATCTTGGTGGTAGGTTTACACAACACATTTACTTGTGGCCATAGACTTAGTCCAGGTGCGTGCGAGATGGTTCAAACACTATCGTCATAATAAAGAAAGAATACTGTCAACCACCAGCAGCTGTTGTTATGGTCAAGTGGCTAAAGAACATTGCCAATCCCTATAAAGTTATTGCATGGCTTGTTCTGATAATATTACTAATGCATCGGGAATAGCTAGCCGTACAATGGATTTTCATTACAGTACTATGTGATGAGAGGACCTGAATATCAATATCACCATGCGGACACCTTGTGACCTCCATACTTTACTATAAATAGGCTTCTGTTACTTCTAAGACTTTTGCTGATGTACTGGCTTGGAGTTTTTGAACAATGTTAATACTATATGCGCAAGAATTTACAAAGATATAGTAAATTTTATTGTGCAACCTCATATGTACTTGCCTAGGGTACTGAGAATGGTAAGTTTGTCTCGAGACTTTACAATTAGTAAGATTTAATAGCAAACTTTTAAGTTTCATTCACAGATTATAATTAATAAAAATGGTTAAGTGCTATATATGCAGGTAGTGTAGGAATAGGTAATCTCGTCTGGATAAGGAGATTTTAGTAGCGACCGGCTAAAAAGGCAGAGTTTTAACCAAGACAGACAATGGTAAGGCAAGTGTAAAATAGGCAACCACTCTGTTAGCATGAATAAATGCCTTGAGATGAAGTTACTATTTGGCGAGTGTAAAATACTCCTTTTTATTTATAACGTTTGCACTCCTATTATATCTTTTCCCTTTGGTGTAAATGCTGCATGATTCCAATTTCCAAATGATTGCTTACAAGTTTTTCACTCTGCAGGATTTTTGCTGCAGCTGATTACATGCAAGTGACTTGGCAATGTAAATCCGTTAGTTACACTATTAGTAAATAGTAATAATAGTAGGGAATTGAGGATAAAGAGATGCTGAAAAGCAATGAATTGGCTTAAACAACACTAATATTACAAGAAAATATATCCAAATGTCCCGGTAAAGTTGGGACAGTGTAATCTATGAACTAGTAAACTTCTAACCTACAATATACTTGATGGTACAGATTGAAGCACTAGACTTCTGCACCTCCTTTATTAATTATTAGTGACATTCAAGTGAGAAGTGACACGTAGAAATGCAGTCTCACTGCATGGTATTGTAAGGCCGCCCATTGGATAATCGAATCTGTATTCTTCCTCTGCATGCCTCAACAAGTCTTGAAACAAAGGATGCTTCAAACAAGAGATAGGAACCACGAATCGATGCTTATTATTATGGCTTTCTCCAACATAAACTGCCATGTGACCCTTGGGAACATCTGCCAATTTTGATGAAGTGGTTGCAGTTGATCTTTGGTGGAGAATATTATTCTGTTTAGCATGCTGAAAGATTGTCTTGAGATGAATCCTCATGTCGATGAACTTGTATTCAACTTTTAGCTGGTAAGAATGCTGCAAGAAATTTAAAACAAGCTTTAAGTGATATGTAGTGTGAAGAAATAGGCTTATGTTTTTTTGCAAATGAGTTCTCTGACTTATATTTCTATATATAGGGATTGGTTGGAGGAGTTACTTGATTTATTTTTAGTAGTAACCAAATAGCGTGGGACCAAAACTTCACCCTAACAAAGCATGTCAGTGGGGCTCGATTGCTTTACATTATTGTGGCAGAAAGCTCTGTTTGCTTCCCAACTTGTTGCTGTAAGATAGAAGAATTTTTTAGTTAACACTACAGTTATAGCATAGCACATAGTTTCCCCGTGCTCAAAACCGTGTACTTTGACGTTGACTCAGTTTTTTCCTTCATTATTTCTTTTCTATTGGATAATTTTTGCTACTGAAGGACATGTTCCCATGAGGCATATTTGGGGCCTTTGTTGTTTGATTGCAGTGCTTGAATACAACTACTTTTTTCCCAGCTGCTTCTCTAGTTTCTATTGTGCCATAGTTCATTGTATTTGCAGAGTAGCAGCCTTTGTTTATCACTGATAGAAGTTTCATACAAGCACAATACCGAGTCACCTAATATGGTTTTTTTGATAGTTATCATAAGGTGTTGAGAAGACTTTGAAGTACCAATAAATGATATAGTCGACAGGAATCCTGCCCTTCCACAACTGTTTAAGCAAATCATATCTTGACTCTTGCAGAAATGTTGGGTAAAACTGCGTATAATATACCCTTGTGGTTCGGCCCTTCCCGGACCTCGCGCATACCGGGAGCTTAATGCACCGGGCTGCCATATCTTGGTCGTGGGACCATGCATAGCTACATCACTTAGAAATATTAAACTATATTGTACCATGAGAAAGCAGGAATAATTGTACAGGAGATTCATCCCCAATGGATAGTCTAGTAGCTAAGAGACCACATATTAATCAGAGTGTCATAAGTTCATTTATTAGTGGCCGCAGGTCAATGCTGCGCGCCCAACTGGATTTCCATTAGCCTCTTAACTATGTGCAAATGTATCTATGTATCTATCTTCAGAACTGCAAATCACTGATCTATCTTCTTCATTTTCTACTAGTAACTGAATAATGCTTGAGAATATATTGGTGATACGGCCAGCAGTGCCCCTAGGCTTACTTTACAACTCCAATCACCCACAGTTTTCTATTTCGAGCATTGTGAAATATCCCTTTTGTCCCTCAATATAATTCAATTAAGATTGGTTCATTTCCTGCTGTCAAAATGGATAAGTAGTTTCTCATCCCGACATAACTGCCCTACCAATTTTGGGTACATGTCCTATCTGTACAACTACATGTGATTATGAGGTAATATTTTGGTTCAGGTTGTTATATGCATTCAATATTCAATCATTGATAACAAGTTGTTACTGTTCCCATGTGACTTCACCGATGTGATTCATCATTGAATATTGTGCATAGTGATAAAAATCTGCTTTGTACTAAAAATGTAATAAGCAGATCTGCTTCGGCTCGTCTTAAGATACAACATCAGATTTCGATGCCTTAAATTTTCTGTATGAGGTTGAGCTGGTTTTGTTATTGGTGTTTCCCTTATTTCTTGATTTACTGACAGATTAATTAAGATTTTCTACAAGTTAAATGTGTTGTTGGGAATAAATCTCCTACAGAAATAAAATTCACGATAATAAATTAAAAGCGAAATAATAACGTAGCACCGAGATACGGTAATCAACAAGAATAAAAAGAACAACAACAACACAAAGATTTTTACTTGGAAAACCCTTTTGAATAAGGGAAAAAACTACGGTCCCGAGAGGAGCAACTGATATCACTATAGCAAAAAATTTTACTCTTTGTAGGTCTGAGTAAAATACTCCAAAGACCACTACAATACTTAAAAGAAATAACCCTCTTTTGATATTCCCACCTCACTACAATATCGCTCACTCTCTATTTTTCTCACAAACTATTTTCTTATACCCTGTCTGTGAAACCTCACTCTTTCTTTCTAACTCTCAGATATATTTTTCCTCTGAGATTGGTGTGTGAAAATGAGAAGCTGAAGGCTTCTATTTATAGGAAGAAGTTCCGTAACTCTTAACCAATTAGAAGTTGGATTACTGACACTTGCGATTTGCAAATTGAAAGTTGAGAACCAAAACCAATTTTGATCAAAAACATGTTTCGATGCGTTTCGGTGCCTACCACCAATTTTGGCATCTTGCAAATTTCCCTTCCTATTTCTTTTTCTTCCTTATTATGGGGATGAACCCCACAATCTCCCCCTCCAGACCCATTCACCAGAAGGAGGTAACACCAGATTTTTAGCTTGAGTGCATACCGATAACTTCTTTGCACAATTCGAACTTGTCTCTTAGTACCATCTTGGTCAGCATATCTGCGGGATTCTCACTTGTAGAAATCTTCAAGATTTTTAGAGATTCATTCTCTACCATTTCTCGAATCTAGTAATATCTCGCGTCGATGTGTTTGGTCCTTGCATGGTACATGGAATTCTTGCTAAGGTATATTGCACTTTGACTGTCACAATAGACGACATACTCCTTCTGATGCAATCCAAGTTCTTGAAGGAATCGTTTCAACCATATCATCTCCTTGCCAGCTTCAGTAACGGCAATATACTCCGCTTCAGTTGTAGAGAGTGCGACACACTTCTGCAACTTCGACTGCCATGATATAGCTCCCCCTGAAAATATAAATAAATATCTAGTAGTGGATTTTCTATTATCAATGTCACCTGCCATATCAGCATCTGTATAGCCCATCAAGATTGGATCAGATCCTCCAAAGTACAAACAATCTCCTGTGGTACCTCTCAGGTACCTGAGTATCTACTTGACTGCTTCCCAGTATTCTTTTCTAGGATTTTTAAGAAACCTGCTGACAACACCAACTGTGTGAGCAATATGAGGTCTAGTGCATACCATTGAATACATCAAACTTCCGACGGTAGAGGAATAAGGAACTTTGGTCATGCTTTCCTTTTCCTCTATTGTTGTAGGACACATCTTCTTGCTTAACTTCAAATGACTAGCAAGAGGTGTGCTGACTGGCTTAGCATTCTTCATGTTGAAGCATTCCAGTACACGATCAATGTACTTCTCCTGAGACAGTCACAACTTTCTGCTTGTTCGCTCTCGAACTCTCTTCATACCCAGAATTTGTTGTGTTGGGCCCAAGTCCTTCATATCAAATGACTTGGACAAATCTCCCTTCAACTTTGCGATCAACCCCTTATTTTTTCCTACAATTAATGTGTCATCCACATACAACAACAAAATAATAAAGTTGTTGTCAAAAAATCTTTTGAAGTATACACATGGATCAGAATATGTCTTTGTGCAAGTTTGATTTTCATGAATGAGTCAAACTTCTTGTACCACTGCTTTGGTGCCTGCTTCAACCCATAAAGACTCTTATTCAGTTTGCACACCATGTGTTTCCTTTCAGCTACTTCAAATCCTTCTCGCTACTCCATATAAATCTCCTCTTCCAAATTTCCGTGAAGAAATGCAGTTTTCACGTCCAACTGCTCCACTTCAAAATCTAGACTAGCTGCTAAGCTCAAGATTGTTCGAATAGAAGTCATTTTGACAATAAGTGATAAGATTTCGTCAAAATCAATACCTTTCTTCTGCTCGAAGTCTTTTACCACCAATCGAGCTTTGTATCTGATCAGCTTGCCATTTTTATCTTTCTTAAGTTTAAAGACCCATTTGCATTTAAGTGGTATTTTACCCATTAGAAGTTCAACCAGCTTGTACATGCCATTTATTTTTGTTGAGATTCTATCTTTTCTTTCATGATTTTCATCCACTGGTTCTTTTCTGGATGGGACAACACCTCTTTAAGACTTTCTGGCTCCCCTTCATCACTGTTGAGGACATACTCTGTGGAAGGGTACCTACATGACTCTACCCTTGGCCTCTCTGATCTCCTCAGAGGTTGAGGTTGTTCTTCTTCTTGAGTAGGGTGCTCCACTTGCTCGACACCATCATCAAATTGCTCCTCCTGCTCAATAACCTCATCAGGTTGCTCCCCCTGCTCGGCAACCTCGTCGGTCGTACTTTCTGTACTTGTGTAATAGTTAGAAGAAGAAGGAATGGTAACAAGGTTAGGGATTATACCATTCTTTGTCTTCTCTGATTAATCACCTACAGCTCCAACTTTACTTTCTCGGAAAATTACATCTTTGCTTCTAATGACCTTCTTCTTTATAGGATCCCACAATCTGTACCCGAACGGTTCATCTCCATATCCGATGAATATGCATAGAATAAATTTATCATCCATGTTTGCTCTCTGCTCCTTTGGTACATGTGCAAAAGCTCTGCAACCAAACACACTTTAGATGTGAGTAAGACACCTCCTTATTGGTCCAAACTCTCTCTGGGATGTCAAACGCGAATGGAACTGATGGAGTCCTATTGATTAGGTAACAAGCTGTTTGAACTGCTTCACCCCAGAATGACTTAGGTAGTTTAACCATTCTGAGCATGCTTCTCACCTTCTCAACAATGGTGCGGTTCATCCTCTCGGCTACGCCATTGTGCTGTGGGATTCCAGGAACTGTCTTTTCATGTCTGATCCCATGGCTCGAACAGTACTCTTCAAATTCCCTTAAAGTGTGCTCACCTCCATTGTCACTTTAGAGACGCTTTAGATTTTGGCCTGTCTCCTTTTCCACTAGAGCATGAAACTTCTGAAAAACTTGAAACACCTGATCTTTGGTTTTCAAAGTATAAACCCATAATTTCGTGAAGCAGCATCAATAAAAGTAACAAAATATTTTTTACCGCCCATCGATTCAATTTCCATTGGACCACAAATATCAAAATATACCAAATCAAGTATATTCAATTTTCTTTCAGACGATGTCTGAAATGGGACTCTATGTTGCTTACCAAATAAACAGTAGTCATAAGGTTTTACTGTTGTATATTTGGCATAAGAAATGAGTGATTTCCTGGCAAGAATTTGTAGTCCCTTCTCGCTCATATGACCCATTCTTTTGTGCCACAAATATGCAGAAATCTCATCTTGTACCGCGTTTAATTCACCTTAGCATATTTCTGCATTTGTCCTATACAACATGCCACGAGCAACTCCCTTTGCAATCACCAATGACCCCTTGGTAAGTCTCCACTTTTGATTTGTAAAATAGTTCTCGTATCCATCACGGTCTAAAGCAATTCCCGAGATCAAGTTCATCCGCAAATCAGGTACATGTCGCAGGTCCTTTAGAACCAATGTGCATCCGATATTTGTCTTGATATAAATGACAGTGATCCCCGCAATCATTGAGTAACTCGTGTTACTCATTCTCACAGTTCCAAAATAACCTGCTACATATCTGCAAAACATTTCTCTTACCGGTGTGGCATGGAAAGATGCTGTTGTATCAACCACCCATTCCGACTCTAGACTTGACAAGTGCATGCATTCCTCTTCCTCATTTATAAAGAGGACAACATTATCATTGTTTTGCACTATGACGGTTTTGTTGTCGTCATTCTTCTGGCCACTGGTTTCACCTTTGCCCTTCCTTGGATTTGGGCAATCTATTTTGAAGTGACCTGGTTGATCACAATTGTAGCAATTTCTAGCTCTTGATTTGGATCGGTTCTTAGACTTCCCACGAGCTCCAGATCTACTATAGTTGCTTGAACTCCCTTGATAACTCTTGCCTTTACCTTCTGTGATGAGAGCATGTCCTTGATTTTCAGGTTTCTTTCTCATCTTCTCATTGAGTAGAAGAGCCGATGTGACGTGTTTCAACTCAATAGTAGTCTTACCGTGCAGGATGGTTGTTGCCAGATTATCGTACGAAGATAGTAACGAGTTCAACAACAAGATGGATTTATCTTCTTCCTCGATTTTCACTCCGAGATTGGTGAGCTGTGATTAGTTTGTTAAACACATTTAGATGTGACAAAAAATTCGTACCTTCACCCATGTGTTGGGCGTATAGCTGCTTCTTCAGGTACAATTTGTTTGTCAGCATTTTGCACATGTATAGGCTTTCCAACCTTGTCCAAAGGCCACATGCGGTGTCTTCATCAATGATATTATTTACCACATTATCTGATAAGTGCAACCTGACTGCACTAGTAGCCCTTTCATCCAACTCAGCCCAATCCTTAGCTTTCATGGTATTAGGCTTTTTGGAATCAATATCTAATACCTTGTGTAATCCTTATTGGATGAGCAGATCCCTCGTCCTTCTTTGCCATGTTGAGAAACCGTTATCTCCGTTAAATTTTGCTACCTCATACTTTACTCCGGACATTTTTATTTTTCACTGAGTATAGTACCATCAACAGTGAATAGTATTTCTGTGAACGAGCAGAACATGTGCTCTGATACCAGTTGTTGGAAATAAACCCTCTACAGAAATAATATTCACGGTAATAAATTAAAAGCGAAATAATAACGTAGCACCGAGATACGGTAATCAACAAGAATAAAAAGAACAACATGAACACAATGTTTTACGTGGAAACCCCTTTTGAATAAGGAAAAAAATCACGGCCCCGAGAGGAGCAACTGATATCACTATAGCAAGGAATTTTACTCTTTGTAGGTCTGAGTAAAATATCCAAAGACCACTACAACACTCAAAAAAAATAACCCTCTTTTGATGTTTCCACCTCACTACAATATCGCTAACTCTCTATTTTTCTCAAGGACTGTTTTCTTATACCATGTCTGTGAAACCTCACTCTTTCTTTCTAACTCTCAGATATATTTTTTCTCTGAGATTGGCGTGTGAAAATGAGAAACTGAAGGCTTTTATTTATAGGAAGAAGTGTCATAACTCTTAACCAATCAGAAGTTGAATTCCTACAACTTGCGATTTGCAAATTGAAAATTGAGATCCAAAACCAATTTTGGTCAAAAACGTGTTTAGGTGCGTTTCGGTGCCTACCACAAATTTTGGCATCTTGCAAATTTCCCTTCCTGTTTTTTTTTCTTCCTCATTTTGTGGATGGACCCCACAAAATGATCATCTTAACCTACCTGCTGCTTCTTTTGTTACAAAAAGAAAAAGACTATTAATTTGATTACCAAGTCATGCCTAGATTGTGTCTTAACATTCTTGGATGCTGGTATTGGTTTTAAAAAGAAGAAGATATACTTGGATTCTGGTTACTCCGAGTAGGTTTATTCTAACTGAAAATTCTTCATGAACTGTTGTTATATTCGACATTAGCTTAAAGTATTACTATTCAAGGTAATTGTGCTTGGCAATTGTCTATTAATTTCTACCATCTTATTTCACTATATTTTTCATGTGTAGCATTTAGGAAAAGGAACTTTACATACACTAAGAAGTCTTTCATCAATCTATTATCTCCCTCTGAATCAAGCAGACTTAGGTGCGGAATTACCAAGGGAATTCAAAAAATAAAAGAAGTAAACATACTAAGGAATTAAGGGCATTCAACTGCTAATGTATATAAAAAAACTCTCTAAGATCTAATCTGATCACAATGCTACTTTATGGCTCTTTATTTCATAAATTCAATCGAGAAGTCACATCAACAAAGTCATTCTCATTTGGAAAGAAGGATGATTCAGGTATGTTATTGGCACAACGTATCGTTTATTCTCTATATCTCCTGACATAAACTGCAAAATGTCCTTTAGGAACATCTGAATGATTTCTTGTAAGAACAGACTACAGTTTGTAGGTTTGCTTGGTACTGGAAATCATAGGTAACAAATGAAATCCCATGACTTCTTGATATGTAAATATTGGTTGAACTGAAATTTGTTTAGATTCATAAAGCTTGGTGTTTGATCTGGATCTTGCCCTGAAGTTTGTGCATGAAATATTATATTTATATAGCTGAACTTCCAGCCCGTGTCATCTCTTGTTATGGGCTATGGGCACGTCACATGGTTTTGATATAAACTTGAATAAAATAAATATAATATAT